CACCACAAAATGAAATATTTCAAAGCATATATCCAAAATTTGATACTTCTCAACTTCTCCCCTACACCATCCTGTTCTAAGTCAACATCACGTATATGTAGATTTTTATAATAACCTCCTAACTGCTGCTCTCCCTGTGTGTGCTCTAGCAAAACTAAAGTCAGATCCATCACTCCTGCTCAAAACCCTCCAACGGCTTCTCTTCTCACTAAAATAAAAGCCAAAGTCATAAATACTATGATACACACAGCCCTCCTTGGGTCTTTACAACCTCTCTGAATTTATTCACTACTATGCTCCCCCCACCCCCCTTCATTCTCTCTGCTCCTTGCTGTGCCGGAAACACACCTGGCAGGTTCTCACTTCAAGGTCTGCACATTATTTATTCCCTCTTGTCAGTTAGTAACATAGCCTGCCCTTATACACTCTTGAGTTCTTAACTCAAAAGTTCATCTACGGATCCTGAGTGTACCACTCTCCTGCACTGTGAATCTCTGCATTGAATTTCACTGTAAAGTTTTCAGAGCTCAAACTCCAGGCCAAACCAGAGGCTAGGAGGCTATGGTTTTGAGCTCCCACTTTCTAATCACTAGGTCTTACTGATGACCAGCCCAGCCCTGATGCTATTTGTACATAAGCTATTTATTGGTTAAAGAGGCTTCCGAAAATCTGAAGTCACTTTATTGACAGAAATCACCTTATTCACTTTATTAGCATATATCACTTTATTAGCATAAATCCAGGAGTGATCCAAAAGGACTTCTTATAAATAATTACACTCCTATGGCTCACAAAATTCAAAAGATTTTTTTGCCCTGGCTAGGTAGCTCAGTTGGTTAGCCATCATCCAGATACACCAAGATTGCAGATTCAATCCCAGGTCATACAGGGCACATAAAAGAATCAACAAGTGAATGCATAAATAAGTGATATAACAAAATTGATGTATCTCTATCTCTCTCTAAAATCAATAAGTAAAAATTCAAGAAGGAAACAAAGAAAGGAATTCCAAGGGATTTAGAAACTGCTAAAAATGGGGAATACAAATGAAATCTTTATTCTTTATTATACCACATTAAAATGTAAATTCTATGTGGCAAGGGATTTTTTTCCTTATATTGCCTTATTTTTCTCTATTTTATTTATATAATTAATATAAGATGTTTCATAAATTATTTTTCTTTATTTTATTCATAACTTACATATTTTATTTTTAGGTTATTCAATACCACAGCTCAGTGCAGCAACAATGCACAAAGTAGGTGATAGATAAATATTTGTTGAGTAAATAAATTAAATAGGTTCTGCCTATGCCAGGTTTTGTACTATGTGCTTTACTTATATTATCATTTAATCTTCATTTAACAGCCATAAATTTGTTACTATTACACTTCGTATTTAATTAAAACAGCAAGAATTTAGATAGGTTCAGTGGCATGTTCAAAGTCACACAGCTAGTAAGTACAGGAGCAAGAATTCTAACCCAGACCGTCTGAATCCAGGTTCCAAGTAAAGACTTTTCATTTCAGTTATTGATACAAAAATAAATGTATTATGTTAATTGAAACGGGCTGTAAAACTATCTGTAAATCTGTTCTTAACTATGCCAACACATATTTGTGCAGAGATAAAAAAATATAAAATTTATTTTAAAAAGTGATCTCTTTGAATAGGAGATTACAGGTCATCTTGATTTCATTGTTTATATTTTTCTTTTCAGCATTTTTGGCAATGAGCTGTATTATTTTTAGAGCCAGAGTGAAACAGAAAGTTCTTTTAAAACTAGGGAAGCCGAAACCGGTTTGGCTCAGTGGATAGAGCGTCGGCCTGCGGACTGAGGGGTCCCAGGTTCGATTCCGGTCAGGGGCATGTGCCTGGGTTGCGGGCACATCCCCAGTGGGGGATGTGCAGGAGGCAGCTGATCGATGTTTCTCTCATCATCGATGTTTCTAACTCTCTATCTCTCTCCCTTCCTCTCTGTAAAAAATCAATAAAATATATTAAAAAAAAAAAACTAGGGAAATAGCCCTGGCTGATGTGACTCCCATGGTTAGAGTGCCAGCCCGAGCACCAAAGGGTTGTGGGTGGGCCTGAAAGTTGGGTGGCGCTGGGTAAATAGTGTTATCCAGACTGATGGAGACTCAAATATGGTACCCATCTGCCAGCTGGGGGATGGAGGTGAGGGCTCAGCCAAAGAACAATATGCCAGTGATCTACAAAAAATGTAAATCTGATCATGTTACTCCCTGCTTAAAAGCATTCAATGGTTTTCAACACAAATGAAATCTAAAGTCCCTTATTGTAACTCCCTATATGGTCTGTTTCAAGGCTTCTCCCCAACCTCATTTCTGTCATTGTGCCTCTTAATCACCACCACACTGTTCTTATTTTTGTTTCTTCTGTCTGCTAAGCTCTTTCCCATACTGGGACCTCCAGATGTCCTTCCATCCTTTTTGAGATACCATTCATTCTTTTTTTTAACATATATATATACATATATGTTTTTATTGATTTTAGAGTGAGAGGAAAGGAGAGGGCTAGAGAGAGTGAAACACCTATCTGCTGCCTCCTGTACTCCCCCTACTGGAGATGAAGCGGGAAACCCAGGCATGTGTCCTGACCAGGAATTCAACCTGAGACCACCTCTGGGTGCAGGCTCAACCAACTCTGAACCGCACCAGCCAGGGCTCCCTTCAGTCATTCTTCACTTGACTGACTTCTACTCATCTTCTACTTCACATCAGCATCAAGATTCCACGTTTGCTTTCTTTACCTGGCACATTACTGACACCCAATAAATAATCACTTCTATTTTCTATTATCCAGCAAAACAAACAACAAAAAACCCAAGGGTGTTTGAGTTACACATGGTACACACTCCAAGCCGGATCGAACAGCAACTCGGGTAAGTGCCCTGACCAGGAACCAAACCATAACCTTTCAGGTTCACTGGATGACACAACACAGGGCATAATTATGTTTAAACCAAGAAACTAAAGAGCATTCAAAAAAATATTTTAACATCTGAATGTTTTCAAAACCCATTTGCAAAACTTAAAGAACTCTGAAGGAAAAACAAAAAAACCTTCAATATGGCACAGAGGAAAGACCATGTGAAAAACATGTGAAGGTACATGGCCAAAACAAGCCAAGGGGAAAATGTTACCATCAAACGAGATTTTTTTTTAAAATATATTTTATTGATTTTTCACAGAGAGGAAGGGAGAGATCAAACGAGATTTTCAAATGAACCCAGAACAAAACTTTGCGACAAGTGTTTAGTGCTTACGAGATTGAAAACTCTTGGAATCATTTTTCTCTGCCCCATCTTTTGCTTTAAGAAAAGATGGGGAGGAAGCTGAATCAAAACGTTAACTGCAGGCAGTCAATAACTTGAAAATATCTGACATTTCTGGTCCAACAAAAAAGAAAGAGCTTTCGTGGCAGATTATCCAAATTATTACAGCACGTTTCGGTTCAATTCCATTTAAAGAGAAAGAAAGGATAGGGGATCGGAGGCAGGAAAATGGGAAGCAACTATTTACTTGCTTCCTTCACATCGATGGCAAGGAGGTCTCCTGTCCTCCCCCTATGGCGTCAATGGCAAGGAGGTCCCCCCACCCAACCTCCACGCGCGAATGTCCGGCACTAAACAATGCCTGATGGATTCCCCAACAAAAATTCCACGCAGTCAACTCGACAAGCCAAGATCCCCATCACGCTTATGTCACGGCCCTGCTTCACCGTCAGCCCTTGACTCTGAGCGGTGCCCCTGATCCATTCTCGCCCCCAGAACTCATGTAGATCTAATCGCTTCCCTCCAACGATCCCTTAGGTAGGAGAAACTGCTTCCAAGAAAAGCAAATGGCAAACAGACGCGGGCGGAGGGGGGCTGGGGGACGGGCTGGATGCCGGGACTCACCTGGGGCTGCACCGTGCTCGACAGGGAAAACATCGCCTTCGGGCCCTCAGCGACCTCAGCCGCCGGCTGAAACTGCCCGTCCGTCCACGCAAGGAAGGGGCGCAGCCCTTTTCTCCCTCCCCTTACCCGCACTCTCCCAAAGAACGGAAAATGGCCTCCCCTCCCTACAGCTGCGGCACCGATCTTCTGCCCCGGAAGCAAAGCTCTAACGCAACAGTACTTCCGGGGCAGAGGAGCACCGCCCCCGCCAGGCCTGTGGCAGCCCTCCGCCTCCCATTGGCGTCTCTGCGGGTGCTGCTGGCCCCCGAAAGCAGTTGATGATCATGTGGAATAGTACATTGGCTAACCGCGAAAGCTTCTTTGGCTGTATTTTCCTGTTTCTGAGGGACCGGCATGCACCCTGTTAAACCTCTCTGCAGCTTCCTTATGCAATGCATTGTGTCCCGACCTGGAACAGAATGAGCTGTAAGGTCTTTTGTTACAAGTTTTTTTTATATCTTCACAATAAGTAGAAAATTCTGACTCTTCATCCTAATCTGTTTCAATCAGTCACGTTACATTCGGTTAAAATGTCAGATTACACCACCCGATTCCTGCTTTTCCAGTTTCTCCACGTCTACGATTTCACTAGCCACCATTTTCCAGAACAAACCCAACCGGTTTACATTTCAGGGGGCACCGAGGAAGGTCGCGAAGGAGTTTTTTTTTAAAAAAAAATGCAGGAAGTCGGGATTCCAACAGCCGCTGCTGAAGGTCGAGAGTTAACTCTTCAAACCCCGCCATTCCGCTTCAGGGATCCGCTGTCCCTTTTTGTGTTTGCAGCACAGCCTCCCCACCCCCTCTCATTACAAATAAAGTGGGCAGTGGCCACTGCCCTGGAGTCGCGTGTGGCTGGTTGGAGAAATTCCCAGCGTCCCCGCCCTCTCGCCCATTGGATCCTGCGGCCTCTACAAAGGGGAAATGGCTGAGATGGAGCTTCGAGGGGCTGGACTAGGCGAGCGCGACGGCGTCGTGACGTCACGGCTGCGGCCGCGTGGGCGGGGCCTTACTTTGAACCCAGTTGGCGGGAGCGGCGGCTGGGACCGGGGCTCTGGCAGCAGCTGCAGGCTTCAGTCTGGGCTGACCCGCAATGGAGTCCACCGCCGGGAGCGAGAAGGAGAGCGGAAGAAGCGCAGCCACAGGAAAATGCGTGAATAGTATCTCGGTGCCAAGACCTCCCTCCATTGAGGACTTCACCATAGTGAAGCCCATTAGCCGGGGCGCCTTTGGGAAGGTGTATCTGGGACAGAAAGGCGGCAAGTTGTATGCAGTCAAGGTAAGAAGCCCTTATTTCTGCCCCCTGAATGAGGCAGGCCCCGGGGCCGCTGCAGCAACTCGATTGGGTGGCCCGGTTTGCTGGCACCTGCTCGGACCGCGGCGGGCTGACTTCTCACCAGGGTGACATCAGCCCAGAGCAAATTGGTTGTCTCAACTCTGCCCCACCCTTCCTTTCACGCCGCGATTGCTTAGGAGAAACCAGAACTTCTGAATCCTTTATACCAGCGGTTCTCAACCTGTGGGTCGAGACCCCTTTGGGGGTCGAACGACCCTTTCACAGGGGTCGCCTAAGACCATCGGAAAACACATATATAATTACATATTGTTGTTGTTATTAATCACTATGCTTTAATTATGTTCAACTTGTAACAATGAAAATACATCCTGCATATCAGATATTTACATTACGATTCATAACAGTAGCAAAATTACAGTTATGAAGTAGCAACGAAAATAATGTTATGGTTGGGGGTCACCACAACATGAGGAACTGTATTAAAGGGTCGTGGCATTAGGAAGGTTGAGAACCACTGCTTTATACTGCTTTGGCCTTTACAAGGATTAATTTTGAAATTTTAAACGTGAAAGTTATTTTCCAAATTATGTTTTAATTCTATCCGTTCGATATAGATTAATGTCTGACCTGCTATATAGCGAGATCTCATTAAACAACGTCATTTTTTACCATCAAACCTTCCATTTTAAGCCTAGAATGTATTTTTATTTAAAGACTAAACTGAAATATGTCCTAAATCAGCCTTTTATCCTTGCAGCAGTATATAGCATTCCAAAAGCATTCAAGAGCTTTCAATGTGTTTGAAGTTGTTCCACTCATTCTTGCTTATCCAGTCTCATAGTTTCAGATGACTCACATTTCAGCAGTCAGTGTCCATGATAAAAGGAAGGGGAGAGCTGTCTGACCAGCAGGAGAAAGTTTCAACTTTCTGTTGGACATTCATTGCTATATAAATGTCTAGCAGGCATCTCCCTGTTGTACTTGCCTAACTTTGACCACTCCTCTCCACTAACTGCCTGAACTCTGAACCTCCTGTATTCCCTCTCCATTTAATACCAACCACCACCATTATCCCTGTCATAACCTGTGTCATTTAACTTTCCTCTATTTCAACTGTGTATCCTATCTTCTCAAAAAGTCTTGTCAATTTTTTTTAAAAGAGGAAGGTTTTTGTCTTTTTATTTTATTTATTTATTTATTTAAATATATTTTATTGATTTTTTACAGAGAGGAAGGGAGAGAGAGAGAGAGCCAGAAACATCGATGAGAGAAACACCAATCAGCTGCCTCCTGCACATCTCCCACTGGGGATGTGCCCGCAACCAAGGTACATGCCCTTGACCAGAATCGAACCTGGGACCCTTCAGTCCCCAGGCCGAAACTCTATCCAATGAGCCAAACCGGTTTCGGTAAGTCTTGTCAATTTTGTCTAACATTCTTATTACCCCTTCCATTCCAATTCCCAAGTCTGCCCTTCATTTTGTCTTCCTCCTTTAATTCATTCTCTTTCTTTATTCCTTCCTTCTTAAAGTAGAATTTGGCTTTTAAGTAAATTAAAGATTGGGTAACCATCACCACAATGCAATTTTAGAACATTTCTATCACCCCAAAAAGCTCTCTCCGGCCCATCTGCAGTGCCTCCCCCTTCTACCCTCCTCCCAGGTAACCGACAATCTACTTTCTATCTTATAGGTTTGTCTTTTCTAGACATTGCATATAAGTAGAATCATACAATATATGGTCTTTGGTTTCTGTTCACTTGACATGATATTTTTGACTTTCAACAGGCCTTCATTTTCATACTAGTCTACTAGAATAGCCCCCTAACTGGAATAACTTTTTTTTCATCCATTCCTTAGTCTGTGGCGCACAAGCTAAAGTCCACATTCCTTAGAAAAGCATTCATTTTAAAAAAGAAAGAAAGAAAAGAAAAAACATTTCTGCTTCATTCTGACTCTAAACTTCCACCTGTATCTTCCTCATATCCTGTGTTCTAGCCACTCCAGACAATTGACTAGTCCCTGAATTTTGCATTTTGTCTTCCTTCTGAGCTTATCTTTATTCTGGTCCCTCCTTAAGTGCTCTTCTTGTACCCTTCTCTGCTCTTCGCCACCTATGTTATTTATGTATTAAGGTTTATCTTAGCCTTCCCTTCATACCTTCCCTGCCCTTTTAGATCCATCCCATTAAAATGAACTCTTCCTTGCTTCCTATGTTCCAAGATGCTTTGCTTTTCCTTCTACTGTACTTTCTAAACAGTCATTATCCATTGTTGAAATGACCAATGAAACAAATTCATTTTTCAGTATTTATTGAGCATCTCTTCATTTGTAAGATCTGGGCTACAGTGGTGATCAAAACAAACCTGCATTCATGGAATTTCCAATCTAATGGAATGATAGGTTACAAACTAGCTTTGTCAGTTTCCCATAGCTTTCTTATGGTAAGGATCTAAGGTTGGAATTGACAGTGTACTCATGATTTTATTAAATACCTCATCTTCTTTTCCTTGAGATAGTCCTGAAACTTGATCTCAATGTTACTATTTAGTTAGGACTCTGCATTTAATGTAGATTATAGTTTTGTCTCTCTACTAGTTACCTTGAGACTTGAAAAAAGTAGTGTTTGGTGTGTCTTTTTTGTAAGGTAGCATTTGAGACTAAGTTTCAGTAGTTCTAACCATGTATTAAGATTTTATTTTCTAGGCAAACTTCCTACGTTCTTTCTCTTTTTGATTCTATTTCCATCCATCAAAGAATCAGAAAGTGAAAAATATATACAGTGTCGTCCCCCCCGCCCCCACAAAAAAAATATGCACACATTTTTGAATAATTATAAAGGCAGTGTTTATTAAGATACATTTCGTTTTCAAAATTGAGCTCTTAGCTGTTAAAGTGTGTATACATTTTTTGGGGGGGGGGACACCCTGTAATAAGTTACTATTTCTCTATGCCTAGGTTCCTGGTTATCTGGGAGCTATTAGGAACATTACTACCGTTTTTAATTTTGTTTTATTGCTTAAAGTATTACAAAGAGTTTTACATATGTCTCCTTTTTGTTTTTCCTCCCTTGACCTTCCCCTGGCCTTCCCTACCCCCCAGTGTCTTGTGTCCATTGGTTATGCTTATATGCATGCATATAAGTCCTTCGGTTGATCTCTTACCCCCCCCCCATACACCCAACCCTCCCCAGCCTTCCCGCTGTAGTTTGATAGCCTGTTCGATGCTACTCTGCCTCTGTATCTATTTTTGTTCATCTTTTTTT